TCGCTGATCCTCGCGCCGCCGGAGGTCGCCTTGCGGGTCCTCCGGCTCTGCAGGGCGACCTCGGTCCGCTGGACGGTGGTGATGAGCTCCTCCACGGCGGTTCCGTACCGGTCCGCGATCGAGGCCAGGACCGCGAYCTTCCAGCGTTCWCCGATGTGCTCSGGGGTCCGGAGCGCCAGGTCGTCGGCAAACTCCTTGAGCGGCCGGAGTATCGTCTTGACGTAGGGAGACGCCTGCGTRGGCGGGGGCCGGTTGGTCATGCGGTAGGTAGCGACCACCCCCTTGACGGCCCCGAGGACCCCGGAGCACCTGTCGATGAGGTGGCCGACCACGATTTCGTTCCAGGCACGCTCGACCAGCGGGCGGATCTGGGCCGCGGTTTCTCCCAGGACCTCGGACACGAGGGCCCGGAGCTCCGCCCCGGCGGAAGCACCGGTGCTGGAATCCTCCAGGGCGCCGCAAATCGTGGAMACGTAGTCGTGGGACAGACAGGTCTCCAGGATGGCCAGTTCCCACGCCACGGCCGCCACGTCGGTGGCGCTGTCGCCCCAGGAATAGGTGGGGCTGGAAGCCGGTGGGGGACGCCGCGAGACCTGGCTCTGCGTTGTTCCCGTTTCGCCCTGCGCGTCCTTGTTGTTGTTGCCGTTGCCGTTGCCGTTGCCGTCGTCGCCGAATTTCAGTTCGCCGTCCATCCCGGCCTTGACAAAGGCCACCGATCGCCCGATCAATTGCACGGCTCCCCTGAGAAACCTGTTGGTAAGGGGTTGCAGAATGACGTCCGGCTTCCACAGCCCCAGCAGCGTGTCGTAGAGCTCGACAAAGAAGGAGAGCTCGAACCCGACGTCGTTTCTCACCAGCGTTTCGGAAGCCTTGTCTCCGGTGAATACTTCCGCGGTCCATCCCTCCCTGGTGGTCGACTCGATGGCCTTGTTCAGGCGGGCACAGCAGTCACCGAATCGAAGCTGGTAGTAGATYGGCAGGTTCCATTTCTTTGAAAACTCCGCCGTCTTTGGATGGAGGTAGATCCGTTCCTGGGCCCGGCGGATGGTTTCGGCCGACAATCTCGGTGTATAGTACARCGCCTCGGCCAGGGATTCCGATTCGCTTTGCGCGGTGGCCAAGTGCGATGGGACAGCAGCGGCGCYGGCGCTAGTGCTAGTGCTAGCAGCACCGACATCGGCAGCGCCMCTTTCCCGSAGCAGGCTCCCCGCCAGTTYCGACAGAAACTTGTCCAGGGTCACGTAGTTCGATTGCAGGATGCCCGCGAGGCCGGGAGAAAAAATGGCCATCTTGATTCCCGCGTCCGCCATGAGGGCCGTCGCGATCGGAACCCACACGCCGTCGGTGATCAGGTCCACCTCGACCCTGGTCTCCAGATCGAACATGGCTTCGGAGAGCTCCAGCACCCGGCCAAAGGTGCTCGATACCGACAGGACCATGTCTTCCAGCAGCGACTTGAGGCCGGCGCACTCGCCGCGCGAGCCTCCCTCGTCGAGGCGTCCCATRGAGATCTTGGAGCGAATCAGGGGCCTGGACAACGGTGGCAAACGAAATGCAGCGAGAACAGCAAACAAGAGGGGTCAGAAGAACGAGCCTTGGTCGGCAGAGAACGCAAGGAGAAGGTCCAAACCACAAACACACACCCCGTTGYCGCAAACRAAAAACGGRGACGGSATGSGWTSCGTTCCGGGTGGTGGAAGCAGGTGTKYKCCCACCGACAAGCGACTCACATGATGGCCACCCGGGCAAAAATGTTTTCGACTTCCTTGCCTCTTCCGAGAATGGCGAGACCGCGCATGCAGTGCCCGATCATCAGAAGGAGCTCGTTTTCCGATGGCAACGTTGCGTCTGCGCTCGCGTCGCCGCCGCCGTCTTTTTCTTCGGAGGGGACCGGCTGGTGGCGGTCGGTTCCGGGCAGCTCGGACAGCTGCCGCCGGTCCTGCAGCCTCTTGAGGGTCTCTTCCGTCCAGTAGGACAGCGAAAAGACGACGTCCGATTCCAGTCGTCGGATCCGGGGCGCCAGCCTCATGAGAAACCGGGCCCGTTCCGAGTCCTCGTCCAGCGGGGACCGCATGGAGGGAAGGGCACCCGACGCCGGTGCCGAACGGGACGCCGAGTCGGCGGTGTTGTGCTTTGAGATACCGACGCTGCCGCCGGCGGTCATGGCGGCAACGACATCCGTGCTTGCTTGGAGCTCCTGCACCAAGACGAGKGTGGTCTGGGCGCTGCGCTCGAGGAGCGACACGTGGTCCGCYGTGGACGTCGATGCCGATGCCGATGCAAACGAAGATGCCGATGCAAACGAAGAGGCAAAGGAAGATGCCCGCTTGCGCTGCGAGGCGTCCAGGCGCACCCGTTCCTCGGCCACCACCAGGTCCCGGAAGAGGTCCGCGCACTCCCTCGCGTGGCCCACCCTGCGGCGCTCCACCTTGATCCTGGTTCCGCAGTCCACCAGTCGCTCGAGGCGCTGCAGGTACTCCTTCTCGGCGGTCTCGGCGCACGACAAAACGGGCAGCAGCTGGGTCAGGAGGGAGTGGAGGTCCGGCGGGAGTGTCTGCAGGCTGGTCCCGATGTGGAGGAGGTTCTGCCCGGACTGGGAGGACGCCAGCCTGGCCGTCAGGAGCTGGCTGTGCTTGTTCGATTTCGCCCTCAGGTCCTTCAGCTTGTCCTCCAGCGCGGAGGTGGACATGGCCGTGACGACAAAGCCCGACGACGCGTCGCTCATGCTAACAAACGAACGAACGAACAAACAAACAAAACTGCGTGCTGGTGGTTGTCGTTTCTTGTGTTTTGTTTCTTGTACTCGTATTCGATATTCGATGCAGATTCAATCGGCTCTATTCGTCGTGGGTCATCGTCCAACGGGGTTTTCTTTCTTGCCTTGTTTCACGAGCTTTCCGCTTACAAAAATTACAAAAATCAACGACTGCATTGGGGGTGAGCGCGATGGGGCGGGGCGGGGAAAGCACAAGAACCAAATGATCCACCTTTTTACATTATTTTTTCAACGAGGTTATCTTTAAGATCTGTCCGTCTATCCATAAAGTGCAATACCGAAGTAAAAAAAGATACTGCCCTTACAGTACCATACGTACTCGTACTGGTCAATACGAAACGTCTTGTGCATCTTTGGTTTCTTCTCTAGTCGTAAAGCTACGATAGCGCTGGTACGACGAGTACGACTACACCATAAGAGAACACGGCACATCATAAAGTACGAGTACGAGTACGAGTACCACTCGTTTTTCCACTTGCATACCGGTAATGCGGTGCTTGTTCCATACGATACAGTACCATAGCATACCTACCGTACCGTACGTATGGTACCGTGCTATGTATTCGATCTGTGTCTCCAGTACGATAAGTACGGTACCGGTAGGGTCTTTCGAAACAGAGCAAGGAATCCCAACCATCCGGTATGGTTCTGGTAGCCAAAGGCCCGCGATCTCCGATGCTGCAAGCACTTGGAACAGAAACAGAAACGCCCGCCTCCGACTTCTCCGTCCATCGGAGCATGGCTTTCAACCACCCGACTGCTTTCCCTGGCAGATAATCCTTCGGCGGCAACAATAGCAACACTAGCAAGCAACACCAACAACCACCACCCGACCGTCCGGGAAAGCCCTTCGACACCGGGTCCGCGGCAAGCCCCCCCCCCGACGCAGCATGGCGAGCGCAGAGACCCAAGGGAAAGCGGGGGATTCCCCGGGCCCTCTCGTCCAGGGCGGCAGGACCGAGCGGCTCCTCCTGGCCATGGCCCCGGTGAAGGACGTCCTGTCGGCCTTTTGCGAAGAATCCAAAGGCGGGGGCGGGTCCGCGGAAGACCGCCTGGGAATCTTTGCGCAGGACGCCTTTGCGGCCCTGGTGGAGCCCCCCTGGGACGACCCCTTTGGGCCGTCGGACCGGTACCTGAAGCAGCTCGTCAACCGCTTTGTCCGGCTCGTCGAGGGGACGGAAAGGACGGACCTTTCCTCCGACGCGCTGGCGGGCCTCCTGGCCCGTGCCAGCCTGGTCCCGGCGGGGAGCGGGGCCCCCGACCCCCTCGCCTCGTGCTATTTGTCGTTTTTCCTGGACCGCGATGGCGGCCCCGGCGGTGATGGCCCCGTGTTTTCGCTCCACCCCCTGCGGATCCGCGTCTTTCCCGACCACAACGACGTGGCGCTGCGGCTCTGGGAGGCCGGGAGCGTCCTCGCCGAGTACCTGGCGGAGCACAGGGAAATCGCCTCCGGGAGGGCCCTCCTCGAGCTGGGGAGCGGCTGCGGGGCGACGGGCCTCGTCGCCGCGGCGGCCTGCGGCCCAAAGAGCGTCCACCTCACCGACTACACCGAGGCCTGCCGGCTCAACCTGGAGCACAACCTCCTGGTCAACCGGGAGTGGGTCGAGCGCCACGGCTTTTCCCCGGGGAAGATCACCCAGGTGGGTGCGTGGGTGTGGGTGTGATGGCGCGCGCGCGTGTGTGTGTGTGAATGTGAATCTTCCACCAAACTCAACCCATTGCTCCGTGTTGCTCTTCTTGTTTCTCCAGGGCTATCTCGAATGGAAATCCTTTCTGGAGGATTATGCTGCGCACGCAGCAGCGAGTTCCGGTGGAGACGGCGACCAACCCGATGCCGCGAACGGCCCGGCAGCAAATGCAGATGCAAATGCAGATGCAAATGCAGATGCATCCCCGTCGGACGGTGCTACCATGAAAGCCTTCTTGGAAGCCGACGTGTTGCTGGCCGCGGACGTCATTTACGACATCAACGCAATCGACGACCTGGTCCACGTGGTCAAATACTTTCTCTCCGAGTCGCCGGACTCCAAGCAGGCGATCATTGCGTCCACAAAGAGGAACTCGGCAACCTTCGAGTTCTTCCTGGAAACCATTGCAAAGTACGGCATGCTCTATACGTGGATCGCGAGGGGCGAGGACTGCGAGGCCCTGCCCAGGATTTTCGAGGGGAACTTTGTACAGGAACGGCGCGACGTGAGCATTTGCCGGATCCACACCGCCAGCTTTCGGGAAAGCTAGCAGGCTAGCAACCCCCAAACGCCGAACGAGTGCGGCCTGGTTCCTTCGCACCAGCCGGCGCTGGTGGTTGCCCGAGCAGGTCTTGGGTGCAGCTCTGCAAGAGTACTCGTACTGTAGTGGGATGTCCGCCTGCGACAAGCTCTGCCACTACCTGACACACGCGGTTCGAAGGCAATCTATTGCCAGTGGTAGCACTTGTAGCAGCAAGATGCTACAATTGGCAATAACAATAGATATTGACCGGTGGCTCCACATGCTATACTTATACTTAGCCTAGTGTAAGAAAATTGTTTCCTTTCTTGTTGTTTCTCTGGTACTCAATAGTAGTACTAGTACTAGTAAGCTGTGGTGCCCTGTGAGAATCAGGGTTCGTTCTGGTTAAGGCAACAACAACATTTCTGATAAGTTATAACTAACAATATACGTAGAAAGTTACAATGTCACATGTTCCAATAGTGTGTCCTAGTAGTTGTTGCACTAGCCTACTAGTAGTACTACTAGTACTAGTATTCCTGGATGAAAACCACTGATAATACTGTTGGTACAGTTTGAGTGTGGAAAGTGAAGAGCTGACACTAGTACTATTTTGATGACACAATTTGTCCATGGTGATTGTTTATCTTCTGGTAGTATTATCTTTCTATTGCACTTTTACTACTCCTAATAGTACTATCCACTAACAATAGTGTTCTTGTTATTTATTTGGAGTTTCACCAAAGAATGCTTCTTTGACCACCACAACAGAAGAATGCTCCAAACATGAAGCATGTGATGTTTGTTCTTTACCCTCCTTCCATCATCACCAAGCTCTGGAGTAACAATCCTGGTGGTACCACCACAACTCTCCTTCTCCCCTTCTTGATGCAAACCTATTGTGTCAGATTTTACAATCATCCACCTTTTTCGTGGGAGGGACTTTGTTGCTTTTATTCTTACAAAATCTTCTACTTCTAATACATCATTTGAATATTTCTTCTGAATTGCAATTTATGTGGAAGTAAACACCTCATAATTGATCAACATTGTTGTATATTGTGCATGGTCATCTAGACTACTAGTACTAGTAGTTAGCCTTTCTTACTTACTAGTAATGGACAGCACAACACATTCCTTGCAGGATCATCTCTTTAAAAGAAAGCTGGTACTAGAAGCTCACAAGGCAGCAGTGATAATAAATTACACACTACTAGTAGTAACAAAGAAGGTATGAGCAAGCTCAACAATTTTAAAGTCAAAAAGTCAACACAGCTGTCAATTCTGTGAGCTTGTCTGTACTGCCTATGTTACCAGCACCAGCAAGAAGCCCCCCCCCTCCCAAGTTCTTTCCACTGTAGATGAATCATGAACATAGAGGTGTTATAATTTCTTTGACGATAAAGCATAATGATAGTACTAGTGAGAGATGATGAATAAAATCAGATATTAGGAAAAGTCTTTTGACAATTTCTTGGAAGTTAATAGTATACTACTAGTATAAACTGGTGTATCAGCATGAATGTCTTCTTGATACTACTACTAGTAGTATGTTACATAACTGTAGCATTGTTGGCGCAGCATGTGTACCCCAAAATGTAACCAGAAATGTACTCTGTTGAGTTCCATGTTATTATCATGGTAAAAGTTCTGCACTGCATAATACAGAGTTTTGGCTCAAACCAAGAAGACTATCAGATGTTTAAAAGTACTACTTTGACTCTCAGTATTAGAGAGTTAGAAATACTGAGATAGACCTCAAATCTTTTTCTGTGAAAATCATGAAAGGATTTCTTTGTGTTTTCGTTCCTCATTAAGACTCAGTGCAGCAAAGGGGAGAGGGAGGAAGTTGCAGAAAATCAAGCTACTGGGGTGTAATCTTGTTAGTTTACTGATGATGGTGATGGTTATGAGCTGAGGTAAGATGTGGTTGCTCAGAACCTGTGAATGTCTATGTGCTCTTTAGTGCTGCATTTTGTAAACAGTAAGCTTCTGAGTGTGGCCAGTGCCAACTCACTAACTATTAATTTGTGATTTAGTCTCACAATGTTAACAATTTGCCATTATTCTAGTATTAATGTTACTAGTACTACTAGTATTTGCAAGAAAAACTACAAGCTACAAAGTATGGCGGATCAACACAACTAACAGTAAATATGTGGTGGGATCAAAATGCCTCTTACCATCTCAGCAAGATTTCAATGAAATAATGTCATATTGAATGAAAAGTCAATGAAGTATTGCTGTATTACTCCTAGTACTAGTTTTGCAACAGGTGATGGGGAAATACTAAAAATTATGTTTGCATAACACAGATGCCATCCTACTACTAGTAAGAATGATAGTCAACCAATGGGTCCTCATAGTACTAAACCATCTCAAAAACTGATCTTTCTTTTCAATTAAAACTACTAATATAAGCTTTGTCTTCAAAGAACCTTGAGGAGGAATATCCACAATCTTGAATTGACTCCAGAGTGTTTTGCATTCAAATAATCTCCTGGAGATCTACTGTGCATTCTGCCTAGTACTAATAGAAACACAAAAGCAAAGGTACTAGTATGACCATTCAACTTACAAAAGTAAAACAACTTATTTAGTCAAAAATACTTCAATCTTCCAAACTTCAATCTTCCACCCCCACCTTGAAATGATGCTGAATATGACATACATGATTTTCTTGCACTTTTTCACTGCTTTAAGATGGATTTACACAACATTAAATTTTCTTGTTGTTGAAGACTCATAAAAAGGCTGGTGGCAGTGGAAGGTGCTGGTAATGGAACATTGATTTATAATTTCTACTACTAGTAGTAGTATTAGCTTAGTTGACATAGGTCCTCTATTGTTCACTATTTGAAAGTTGAGCTCTTAGTACCACTAATCTAATACTACTGTTAGTAGTGATGCAAGAAGAGAGGTCCCTTTTCTAAGAAGGAAAAAATCTTAAATCATAGTGCTACCTCCCACAAAAATCTTAATATTATATTTAACCTTGTGAACTAGAAGAGGCACCAGAACAGTGCTCCTACTAGCTGTCCCACAGAGGGGTGACGCCTCCCTCCAAGGAGGAGGAGGGTTTGTGGAGGAGCAGTTGTAGGTCATACCTCCTACTATAGGTATACAAGATTTTTGTATTATTATCACCAGCAGGTTCTTACTAGTAGTACTAGTACTATGTATATAAGGGTTGTTATTGATCTGAGCACAAATCCAGCCATTGCTATTAGTAGTATTAGTAGTATTATCCATCACTCATTTCAGGATCCCATCATGAATCTAGAATATACTAGTAATAGTACTAGTAGGAGGAGTACACCAGAAAAATACTAGTATCTAGTACATATTAAATTTTTAAATAACTCAATCTCCCAAACCCCCAACTCCTCTGTTTCTCTCCTCCTCTAACCAATTAAGTCATTCAAAACCATGTAAGAAAGAAATCCCTCTGTGGTAAAGCTCAGCAGTAGTATTGGAATTTGTAATGAAGAACAAAATGACCTGAAAAATATTTTTCTGTTCATTGCTTCTTCTTTCACCACTTCTACTAGTTCTCAACTTTGTAGCAGCACTAAGAATGCATCCCATTCAGTACTACTACTAGTACTAGTAGAAGTACTAAAAAATGAATATTATAAGAAAATACGTAACAAAATAAATGAATACTATTGTGATTCAATAAAAAATGCATTGCATCTGATGTTTGAGGTTATAATACATACTAAGATAATACTACTAGTTACAACTTTTGTAGCTGAAAATACTAGTACAAGTATTCATTGGCATCTTTATATTTGTGCTGCTCACCATTGGTGACCCTGCTGCTGGTAGTGACTCCACCAACTATCTGCTTGTAAAGTGAAGAATACATATTCTCTTTGCCTCTTCTTGTTTAACATCTTCATCACCATGATGATCACTACCAACACCACCACAAATAATAAAGAATACTCTCAGTTTGGATATCAATTTTTTCCTCATGTCGTCCTTCTTCATGTACCTAATCTGAAAGTCAGCAGATTAGGCTAGTCTGGTGTGCTTCTTTCAGTTGGACACATAATTTTGGATTGATTTCTGTTGAAGGTATCCTAATTTTTCATCTTGCTCAAAATCATAGTGGGAGCAATGATGAATAATAATGGTACTACTACTAATGTGAGGATCAAGGAGGACAAGGAGGAGTTCCTCTTTAGTGGAGCAACATAAGAAATATGAAAGAAGTAGTAGTAGATGACATAATAAAGAAGGGTACTAGTACCAGCATATTGTCTTCTTCTTCACACCGACTTGTTAGGTCACACTAGCAGCAGTGTCAGCACTGGCAAATGGTGGAAAGAATCCCCCTAGTGTCATCCATCTTCCTCCTTTCCTGTCCTTCCTCTTTTTGCTGGTGTGGGTACTGAGGCCTGGAGTGGTGGGGACTCCTCCTCCTCCTCCTCCTGCCTGTTGCTGCTACTACTAGTAGCAACAGGAGGAGTGCCCCTATTATAATGTTTGATATGTTTGTTTGGGACTGTTTTATATTTTGTTGTTTAGAAATTACAAGGGTGGAAATGAATGAGCAAAAAGTTGTGTTGTGTAGGATAATGATTTTATATTTTATTGAATTCTATGACGAGTTTCCTGTGATTCCGATCTATGAATATCACCTATCTTCCATACTTTCGATAGGTACACGTAGGATCTTCCTGGTCCACGTCTGGGTTTCTGCTGTTGACAGTTTTGTGAGGTGGTTGAAGGAACGTAGCCTCCTTCTGGCAAAGAAAGTGTGATTACTGGTCGAAGCTGGCGATTCTAACGCTGAGTCCGTACTGTATGTGTTGTTAGCATTCCGATGTCTGTCTCAGTCCTCCATACGAAGTACTCGTACTTCTACGAAGTAATGTACCAAAGAATTTACAAGTACGAGTACGCATACGAGAACTAATTATCGTAACTGCTGTCTTTCGAGACCGAGTGAGTCAACTGAAAAGCTGCTAACCGGCCACACCGTTTTCCGTCTTCTGATGCAATCCCAGAACATTTACTTAGGCCAACCCGAACTGAAAACCATTCCTAGTCGTATCGCATCGTATTCGACTCACCACGATGAACAAAAACTAATCTGGGTTGGCACACACAGCGAGATATTTGTCTCACTGTTTACCCGATGGAGGAATCTGTACGGCTACTGTCGTGCTCCAGAGAGGAGTCAAAGCCCCTCACCATCGTAGTCACAGGGTGCAACAGGTATGTCGTATGGTCCTGTGTCTACTTTACTCTGTCATGGCAGCACTGGTAATATTTCCGCATTATTTCGATATTGAAGCAGTGGATTGGTTCTGTGGATCCCGACTCTTGGGATTCGGATAGCACGTGCAGCAAATACACGGCTGACAAAATTTGTGTTTCTCTCTTTGTATTCTCTAATTTCTACTCGTATGTCTTTCGGCTGCAGTGGCATCGGAATAGAGGCGTGCAAACTTTTGCGCCTGACGTCCCCAAGGAGTCGGCTTTTTCTTGTAGCGAGGAATAGGGAAAGAGCGCTCCGGGCTGCCGATGAGATTGCCTCGCTCATAGCAGAACCGGAAAATACAGACGATAGCAATTTATGTTACAGCAACGAATTTCACCGTCACGAAGAGAAAGAGCATAACGATGGGTTTGAAGGGTATAAGAAAACCATATTCCCTATGGTATGCGATCATTCTAGTTTCGATAGTGTGCGGAAATTCTGCGAAGAAATGAAAAACCAGTTGAAAGCGTTGAGTGAGATGGAGGGACACCACATTGGAATCGACGTTTTATGTTTGAATGCTGCAGTATTACTCGCCGAAGATGCCAAGGCCCAATTCACAAAAGATAACCTGGAATTGACGATCCAGACGAATCACTTCTCTCCTTTCTTGATCGCAAACGAACTTTTGAATTTCATGAACGACGGAGCGAGAGTAGTCGTGACGTCCAGTGGTCTGCATGCGTTTCAAAGTTTTGGTTCGTTTGAAGGAGTAATAAATCCCGAAACCGGAAAGATCCAACATGGATTCGAAATGATAACAGGCTGTTCCTTCGACTACAAAAAATGCTATGCAATCAGCAAACTCTGCAACGTCTCGTTTTGCTTGGAACTGAACCAACGGCTTCGAAAACGAAACGCCAAGGCAATTTGTTTTTCACCTGGCTTGATTCCGTCATCGGGGCTTTTCAAGCACCAAACAAGATGGCATGACACGGTTCTCAAAAAATTAGGAATGGGGGTAGTGGACTCACAATCATGGGGTGGCGCGTTGTTGGCATGGATGGCAATATCAGACATGGCCTATAGAGAAGGGGGCTGCTACTGGCGGGCTCCCCTTGGAATATCGAGGCGTGGGGGKAAAATCCCAGACGATCTCTATCTGGAATCGCTAAACGAAGAGGCAACAAATCGCAAAAATAGAGAAACACTGTGGGAAATATCGTCCGTGTTGACGGGTTCAGCATACCATCCCATAAATACACCGGAAGAAGATTTGCAGGAGCGAAACCAAGCCCGATGAAAATTTGACCGAAACAAGAAAGCACTCGTCACCAGAGAGCCTGCAATTTTTACTGCATCCAAACAAATCGCTACAACGTTACAAAAATAGACCACGAAACTATACCGAACCATATCACAATTTTCGAAGGGGAAGCATAATATCAGCTCGATCAGCAAAAATCATTCACCTACTGAAATGTTGCAACAAACAGAATTCTTGACGAAGCAATGTCTTTCACACCAATTGCAATGCAAGATTCGGTGCAAAACCCTGGAGAAATTCCTCTTCCACTCGTTTACACTGGCTGATTCAATCATAATATTATTAGATTACTGTCAATTTTAATTATTATTTCATTACCAACTGAATGAGTTGTGACATGATGGGTCGGTCAGTCATGGATGATGCGTATGGAGGCCCACCAAGTGGACAAGTTGACTCATCCAGCAAAGCATCTGCCATCAAATGGTACACTACTAGCTAGATGTGGTACAATGATGCCATGCACAAAATCATTGTTATAGTGGCCCACACAGGGCGTAGAGAACAGTCAGCCAGATCAGGCTTGGACTCACAGTCATCCCTATAACCTGCATGGTACAGCTGTGAAACCTGATCCTTGTACAAGGCTCATCAAATGGCTCTGCTGGTGTGTAATGCAATCTACCACACAACAGGATTGGTGGTTGATGTCGAGGACCATACTACTAGCAGCAAGGGCAAAGATGCAAGGATGGAGTCCATGAATCATAAGGTGGTGATCATGGAGTACAAGAACCCAGATAGCACTACTAGTACAATGTTCTACTGCAACTACTGGTTCTTTTGTCTTTCATTCTATTCATCCTTTCTAATAAAATTTATGGAAGGCACAAGGATGTGTTCACAAGTCATCTCTCCTCATTCAAAACATTTCTCCCTTCACATAAGAAAGAGGAAGGAGTGGCGGTGGTGTTGCTGTACTACTACATGCATGCCATCATGATGCATCTTGCACTCACATTTTCATACGCTTGTCCAAGTACTACTAGTGGCCAGCCAAAGTTCCCCAAAATCTCTTTTCAGCACTCTAACACTAGTACAACTCTAGTTTGTACTAGAAAGATGTAAGAAACAAATAGTATACAACAAGGAGTACTATGATAGGACTACTGCCTACTACTGGTGGTGGTCAAAATCTCTTTTCAACACTGGTGCAACACTAGTACTCTAGCTAGAAAGTAGACAAGAAATAGTAAACACATATTATGCTAGTACCGCTTGTTGGTGGTGGCTGCTTCATCCTCATATCACATCATCATGAATATGATAAATGTTTACAATGATAATGTCTCAAAATTACTATGTACACTCACATGATGATGTAGTATCCCTACTACTATCTCATCTCTGGATTATCCTAGAGAGGAGGGATGAAAAAGATGCAGTCTTTCTTACAAAATGATATTACAAGGTAGTAGTACTACCTCCTCCTCTCACAAGTTGTACTACTACTTCTTGTAGTAGTAGTTGCACAAGAGGGGAAGGAGAAGGATCTGAAAGTTTTGCATTTTCTTGTTGCTGTTGTTTGAGAGCCTAGTAGTGCCAGTGCTTGTATTACTGTTACTAGTTCTACTGAATCATGCTTTTCATCATCCATCCTTTCTGACTGGTGAGGAGGAATTATTCTTGTTGCATTTTACTATTTATTTGGCTAGTATTCTTTTTTCAGTCATCAGAAGAGGGCAATATGCCATTCCCATAAACATATATCCTGGCAATTCACTTTTAGTGGTTCCAAAGGCATGGTAGACTTGCTGAAATTACAAATCCCCCCCCTCCCCATTTCTGGAATTTGGAATCCTGTATACTACAGCCAGTAATTGCACACTACTACTACTAATTTCACAAGATTCCAGTTTGTGGTGCCAATTCAGCAAAATTATGCTTTTCTTACTACTTAGAAGATGATTGAAAAGCTGTTTGTTGCCAAGTGACTCCTACCTTTAGTAGTACTAGTGCATTCCTACTGCTCATTAGAGGACTGAATATGTTCTTCACCAGTCACCAAGGATGACGATTCCAAGAACAACAATAAAAAATAGTATGATGTCTCCATACACAGATCCTGGTTGCTGTGGGTACACTGCAACCAGAGTTTGTATGCATTGATACATACTACGTAAATATGAGCCAGCTGGTCGAAAAAGACATATTTCAATGTTTATGGGAATGGCCCAATGAGTGTCCATCAATCATCATTAACCCAGACTAAAATGTGGGACAATGTTTTTTGGATGACGGACAGACTGTCTGCGTTTTTGTGTCTTGAGTCTTTGGGGGGTTGGTCGCGCGGGAATTTGCATCACGGGAGCGAAAATTTTCATTCTCGCGCGCATTCATTTTTAGTCGGATCGGTCAATTTTCCTGTTACCTCATTACCTCCTTACTTACCTCCTCACAACCAAGGTAGATTTGTCGTGCCTATGGACGGACCTCTTTTTTCGGGTCCTACCGTATTACCTGAAGCTCTCGCGTAGCATACCTCCCTTACTACCAACGACCCTTGCACTTATCTCATCGAAAACTTTACGTAAAGAAATTTAACCATGGTATGTCCGAGCATGGAGTAATCCGAATGATTTGCTGTGGACCAAACGAGGATCCGGACGATTCGCTTAGATGGCAGTTGGAGCAGTCGGAGCAGTTGGAGCACATGGAGTACATGGAGCATGGAGGGCGGTCTGGAGCAATCCCCGACTTTCGGTCTGTCGATCGTGATGGAGAGGCTTTAAACGTCCAGTTCGATGCTTAGTAGAAATGCCGATCCCATATATATCTGACCTTGTTTTCTTTTTTATTCGCAATATTCAGGGTGTCCGTACGAAGACTGTCAAGAAGAGTGCTCGCACTATCGTCGAGAAATACTACACTCGCCTCACACTCGACTTCCACACAAACAAGCGTTTTGTCGATGAGGTAGCAATTCTTCCTTCCAAGCGAATGCGCAACAAGATCGCTGGATACACAACCCACTTGATGCGAAGAATTGCCAAGGGACCCGTCCGTGGTATTTCTCTTAAATTGCAGGAAGAAGAGCGTGAACGCAGATTGGACTTCGTCCCCGAAGTTTCTGCCTTGGAGCAAGACACCATCCAAATCGACCCCGACACACGGGATATGCTCGAGTCGCTTGGATTCGGAAGCCTCAACGGAGTCGCTGTCAACCAAGGACACCGCGATTAACTTTTTTCTAATCGAAGCATTACAAAACCCCTACAACTAAATTCATCTCAGGCACCTGTACTAGTTGGTTGCATTGGCCCACAAATCCTGGCTATTATAATATTTGAAGAGTCATACTGTTATATCGGGTTTTTAAATAGAATGATTTCTTCGAGGCCAAGAACGAAGAGATCATTGAGAAATCCAACACGGGTAGAATCTGGGTCGAAAAATGAATCTGATCCAAAAGTAAGGTGACGCCCTATTTGGATACCGTTTATCCCATTCATGAACCTCCCTATCTCTAGCATTCCCATCGTCTGTAGCCGTTTTTTCATTGCTCCTAAATTTTCGGAAGAACAAACGACGTACTGAGGCAATGGTCGTGGTTTGAAATTCGTTGTAGCAGTGCACACATCATCCTCGTTTTCGGTTTCGCAATACCTATCTCTTCCTCGTTCGAAGTATGTGCGCAATAAGAAACCATCGGGGTCTTTGGAAAAGACGTCACTCTCACATTCTGTAGCAGAATCCGCTCTACACTTGGGCCCACAATCCAGATACCACGGATCAAACCTGGTGGGCGGATCGTGCATATGGCTCAACAGAGGCGTCGAATGACATCCCATCAAGTAATGTACTGCAACGTCTTCGATTCCTGCTGCACTGCCTCCTTGCAATGCTCTGAAGTCATCTATCGATTTCAGAATTGCTTGGTTCACATCGATTGGTGCTCGCTGATGTACCAGTCCCAGATAAAGAACAGCGATCAGATTCAGCCCTGCAATCGAGACAAGAAGTCTATTTGTTTGTGATGGTGCGAGGCCAATCGCAAGCGTTTGCAGTCTCGCACCACAGACCAAGCAGATGATCGGTAAAACAGGCAAGAGAAAACGGAATTCTTTGTGCGCCGATGCGGAATGCGCTACAACGTAGCAAGCAATGATCGTCCACAGGTTGCGTGTTGCACGAGTCTGCCGCCCGAACCACAAGTCGTACACCAACACGGGAAATAGAATTCCGGTCAATGCGGGGATCCCCGCTGTGAAGTACCAATGGAATGGATGTGTTCCATATAAGCTACCATTGCCTGTGGTATTTCAGCAGTTGGTAGGATTGAGTATTTGTACGCAACACAATTTCATTCAAACGATTGCCCAAGCGATATCTACTACTGCGTTCGAACCACGGATCGTTCCTGCTTACCTTGAATCACATTGAAATGAAAGTTTCCAAGAACGGGTATAGCCCAAACGCCGTACATCACTCGATCCAGGACGACCGTCGAGGCAAATCCCAGCAAGCCCGCAAGTGCGCAAACCCGAAACAGATATGCGACCATGGCGCTTATTGTCTTGCTCGTTTGGCGGGCAAGGATGATTCCCATCGGGATATAGGCGGTCAGACACGTGAACCGAATCGATACGCATATCCCTCCGATAAAGAATGCAACCCAAGCTCTCGCCATGGAAGCCTTAGAATCGCTAGCCGTTTCTACTGCGGATAGAAAGACCTTTCGTTCCCATTGAAGCGTATAATTTCACAGAATACAAATTGAAAAGGTAAATGAGTGCTTTTGCTTATCGGCCCTGTACATCCCGCAGATAGCAGTACTGAACTTGTAGACCCAACACGTCAATGGATTGAGTGTCACACGTTTCACAACGGAACAGTATTTTCAAACCTACCGGACTTATGAGTGCAAACGAGACCGCCAACAATGAAGTTTCAAGAGAATTGCTGTAGGTTCGGACTAGGGTGTAACCATTAAACCACGAAGTAAGACTGCAATAGATACACCAAAACACAATGTTCCTGTTCTTCCTGTCCTCTCTCCTTGCTTTTGAATTATGCTCATTCCCAGTAGTCATGGATTTCATCCACCGAGACGAGTACCAAACACACCAGTCGGTTACAGCTGCTACAAAGATTGCGTTTACAATCAATGGCCCCCTCGACACCATCCACGACGAGTCCCATTTATACCTCTTGATCACGGCGTAAAACACAAGCGTAGGGAGAATGGATGAGAACGAACGAACGGGGCCTTCTAATCCAAAAGTGAAGGCATCCGCTAACCGATCGCTCCAGCTCCCGGGCAATTCATCATAGTAACGCTCTTGTCGTCTACGTTTCCATTCCCAAGTCAATCCAGGACATCTCGAATTGTTGTCGAACGCGAGGTCTTCTCCGAACACACGGCAATACGACGGTTCCAGATTCTGCCAGAATTCATCCGGATCGAATTGAGACTGGATCAAGAAGACGTTTAATATCCGAAAAGCGGCAAAGAACAAAAAATGTTTGAAGGCCATCGTTGATCCCTTTCTCCTCCCGATAGTGTTTACTGATTACCTGCAAGAACTGTCGTATTTCTTGTGAATTCAGCAATCGGGTACTAGGTCACGGTGTATTTCGGAAATCTAATTTTCTCCCTATTCAATCATTCATGAACCAAAAGGATACGAGGGTTGGAATATTTTTTCGGGGCGATAGAAATAAAGGTACGTACGGACAGCCCCTGTTGTAGATGTACTGTACCGTACGTGATTCGTACGGCACATTTTGCAACGAGTGATTCATTATTTGGAATTCATATCGAATGTACGATAGTATAGTGATAGAAAATACCAACATACACATAATAGGAACATCTAGTACATTGAAAATTTGACCATGCTCAAAAAAGCCAATCAAACTCCAAAATTCGGTCTTACCTCCGCACGTGCACGAGTAACTATCGATAGTACAGAAATGATTTTTTCTGCTCGTACCCGTAAAAATCTCGCTCAAATTTAATTAGGGGAGAAAACAAGTTCCAACTTTGCGTAGAAAGTACGTACTGTGGAATTGCGTGTCGTCCTGCCCGCCCATCATGCGCATGAGTGTTGTGTGTTGATTTGGCTTCACACGAAAAACTGAGCATTTTCGTTGTGGTGTAACATGTCGTCTTTCCGCTACTCGTATTCTATGGGACGCAGCGGATGTGAACCGAATGTCAAATCTACACAACTTCGTGACAAATCAACGCAAACGTGGAAAAAGATATTAAGAGTGCAGCCCATGCATCCTGATTCTTCTACCGTATCGTGACAGCAACATTATTATTTCTTTTGAAGCCTTCAAATTGTCACGTCGAAACATCTACAAAGCAACCACAAACAAACATACAGCTCGTGGAAATGGATTCCTTGCTGAATTCCTTTTCCGCCGAGTGGCATCGCTTATCAAATGAGTTTCGAGTTCTCCATGGAGAAACTTCCTTCTGGCTGACGGAATCTCGGAACTATGAAAAGGTATTTTTCGCGATTGCTGTGACCGCGATTTCATGCACCGTCACTTGGTTCCTCTCATTGCAGATTTACGAGAAATATGTTGCCACGAAGGAAACGCCAGCTTTCATCAAGAGAAAGACATGTTATCAGATGACGAATCTTTGCTTCAACCTCACCATCGGTTGTTTGGGAGCATACCAACAGTACTGGATTCTGCCGACACTCCCAGCGTACCACGCAACAAATAGCTTAGAACAGATATCAGGCCTGTTCGATGAGTTCTACCTGATGCCGGCCATGCAGCTCGGATACCAGTGCTGGTCGATCCCCATTGGGATTTTTTGCGTGAACGAATCCAAGGAAATGATTCTGCATCACCTCGGGGTGGTTTGCACGGCCACGGCCGGAGCGTTCAGCACTTTTGGATTCCGGTATTGGCTGCCATTCTTTTATGGGGTCTTTGAACTTTCTTCGGTGCCTCTGGCAATTATGAACACATTTGCGGACCATCCGGATTCGGCAAGGAGACACCCATTGCTCCATCATGGATCACGAGTATCCTTTGTTGTTTCCTTCTTGTATATTAGGGTGTGGAAGTGGCTTCCGGTAGGCCCTCTGTACATGCGAAACAACTTCTTCCTGTTCCTGACCACCGATTTTGGTATGACAAAAGTGTTCGTCTTTGTCCAATTTGCGTTTGGGGTGTATCTTGGATATCTACAGCTGTACTGGGCAGTTATGGTGATAAAATTGACGCTAGAGGCTATCGTGCGAATCGTGGGAAAGATGAAGAAGAAGGCAGCATAGTGCGGAGTGGAAGTGGATGCACGCCATACATTTTTACATCGCTTTCAAAACCATTCGAGACGACGATCGTGGAATGCAATAGGTGATAATTGATAATGCCTAGGTTTTGTTACAGATGCACCATCGATCGTCGTTATGATTACTTGATAAAATATTAAATTCTTATCGTATGCCTTCACACCAACGAATAGCAGAACTTTGCGATACTAGTCTATATTCAATTAGATTAAAAGAGAGAACTTCAGAGCTCGACTTCTCCCGACACAAGATCTATTTGCGAATGCGGTGCGGCTCGGAGGAATGATCGAAGATCGACGGAATGGTCGATTCGTGAGACACATGTTCATGCCTCCCGATTTGTCTTGATTGTCGGTACGTGTATCGTCTTCTTTGGGTGTGTTTCCAGCATTGCTTCTGGGAAAATTTTGTTTCAACACAGAATTCACCCATTGCGATGCAGTTTTTTCTTCTTCTGGGTTTTCGCCGTTGGCGGGTCCCAGAAACAGATTCTTAGACGTCGTCCTTCTTTTTCGTTTGACGTAAAGATTTTGAAGTGCGACGTCGTTTCCACCGCCGATGACCCTTAGTACGTCACCGCTTGGCCCGTCAGCAACGTTGTTATACAATTCAAGGAGCTTCTTATCGAGCTCGGCCGGTGAAAGCTCAAGACGCAACTTCGGTGATTCCAGCATGACATCGATGTCCAACTCCAATCTTTTGTCCAATTCGTTTACTAGACTCTGCTTGACTCGATTTGGCAAGACTGACAACCACGTTCATCGCGAAAAGCACCGTGTAAGCAATGAGGAATCATCAACGCAAACTTTCCAAATTTGCACAACATAACAAGACACGACGTGACGTGGCGTGACGCGACAAGATGCGAAACGAGAACAAACCTACCATTGCTTTGGGAGACTTCTTGTGACAAGCGTGAACGGAACATGCGGTATCTTGCTCGAGATCGTCGCAATCCGGATGCAATAATCTTTCTATCCTCCACGTCTTCGATCAGAGGAGGCAACGATATCTAGTAGGGAACGGAGGAACGAAAAGGCGATAGTGAGGACACGTACCAATGAACAACCGCCCCAGGAAACGTGGATCGTTCACGTACCTCGATGCCCGCGTCGTTTTTCGACAAGCTCTCGGCCTTCAGCGTAGCCTCTGCAAGAGGGATGCTTCCGGCCGCTTCGAGACGTTGGGTCGCGGCCTCCCAGCTCAATGCGTGTGAATATTCTTCCGTGAGTGGCTCGGGGGCGTGCGTAAGGGCGTAGTAGAGATTTCCTATCGGAAGAGGCAAACGTAATTCGTTAGAAGGAGACGGCACACCAAAATCTATGAAACCGAGTCAAGTGTTTTTGCACAGAATTGGACCTACCGACAAACTCTTCCTTGTTCGTATACACAAGGCAATTCGGAAACTCTGCGAAAAAGTCATTCGATGGATGTGAAGGCACTACCACAAACTTTCCCATTCCGAGGGCTTCCGCAACCGTTGTACAGAGGACCTCGCTGGTGGAAGGATTGATGAAAATCTGAGAGGGATTGGAAGGACTAGCATGAGAAATTTTGATCGCGACATTGGATACTGCAATACAGTATACAATGATACACTATAAACTCCCGAGGTTGCCTCTTTCGTTTCGCATTAGCTACCCCCAAAAGAGCTTACCTTGTGCGTGGACGCCAGTTCGGCGTGGTCGATGGGACCGTGGAACACCATGTCGACGCCTTGATCGCTCGCCCTCGATTCCGCTGCGTCCTTGTCGGGACCACCGCCGTACATGTCCAGCCTGACCTTGATCCCGGCGTTTTCCTCGGCGTACTGCAGCAGATCCATCAGCGACCCAATGCCCTTCGACCACAGCATCTTCCCGATAAAGTACACGGACGGATCGGCCTCCGCTCCAAAGACGGGATCGTGGGAAGGGTCGGCCCGGATGCGCTTGCTCGCCTCTTTGCCCGCCTCCAGGAAGCTTCCCCGGATGCCGTGCACGTTTTCGATGAGCTCCTTTTCGGGTGCAAACTGACCCAGCGTTCCCGACAGCTTGACGATGCGGTGGCAGTGCGCCCGGCACATCCAGGAACACAGGAGGCGCATGGCGGGCGCCTTTCGAGAGAGGGCCCGACGCAAACGACAAAACGCAAGCGGGAACGAAGAACGACGCGCGCAACATTGGGAAACCATCAGTCGGACGAACGAAACAAACGAAAACGAAACACGCCCTTGCCCAACTCATGGCCGGTGCGGCAACAACAACTCCCACTCACCCGAATAAAGGCCGCCGGCTGGTCCTGCGCGTACACGAAGTAGTTCGTGTGGATGATTCCGACGACGTGCTTGAATTTGTCCGTCCAGGAGTCTCCGGGGGCGCGGTACCAGTTGAGGTGTTCCGGCTCTTCGAGGATGCATATGTCGACCTCGTCCTCCGGAATCAGTGCCGTGATGTCGCCCATGGAGTAGACCGAGTTCTCGGCCTTGTTCTGCCAGGCCGTGTACCACTGGATCTTGAGTTCCTCGCTCGGCACCGGCAGCTTTGCCGAGTCGCGGAGCCATTCCCGGATGAAGGCTTCCTGCTGCTGGGGGGTCTCGAAGATCCTGTTCTCCCCGTAGACCTGTACCTGGTCCATTCGTCGCTCCAGCCAGGGAAGCATCAGCGTCACGCTCCCGCCCTCTTCGGCCCGGCCCCTGGTCATGTAGGCAGCCCGCAGCAGGGGATTGACGGCGGTTCCCGTCATCCAGGGCAGGGACGCCGTGGTGACAATCAGTATTCTCTTGGACTTGTCGGCAATGTCGGTGTAGGCCACCACTTCTTCGCCGTCCTTTCTCGGCATGGGGACGGGGAGGCTGATCGACGTTTTCGTTTTTTGGTTGGTTGCATCGCTCGGCGGTGTCCGTGGCGTTTCGGCCTGTTTCGGAGGGGGGAGGCCACCGCCGGTCGCCCCGACAGCATCGTTCCCGTGTTCCGAGGCAAGCGTTGCGGTGGCCGGCGTTTCCGGCGGGGTTTCGTTCGGTTCGGACGCCGGTGCATCTGCTTGTGCATCCGCTTGTGCGTCGCTCGCTTCCGGCGCTAGTTTCTGCGCGTTGCCAAACTGGGACATCGGGTAGCCCCGGTTCTCGGCCTCGATCCTGTCCATGTATTCCTGTACGTCGTCCGCCCAGTCCTGCAGCGTTCGTTCCCAGGACGAGGCGATTCCCTCGAACCGGGGGGTCGTCAGCTTGGCTCCCGTCTTTGGGTCCAGCTCGAGTTTGGTCGGCTCGTTCAGGAGGGATCTCCACCGCCGGTAGAGACCGTTGTTGCCGTTCGCGCCCGTGCTGGGTTTGGAATCGCCGCCGCCGTCTTCGCCGTTCTCGTAGGAAGACGACGAGGTCCTCGGAACCGCTAGGTTCTTGATTTCCTGCAGGGCTCGCTCCCATTGGTCTTTCGTGGTGCTCGCACCCGCACCCGCACCCGGATCTGGATCTGCTTTCTCGGGATCCGAGTATTCCTTGTTTCTGCTCTTTTTGATTGATTCTGCCAGATTCATTAGCTTGAGGCTTTTTGTTCTCCCATTGCGAATTGGTAGTGTTGATTGTGATTGTGAAGCATTTGTTTCTGTTTCTGTATTTGTGTCCGTAGCTTCAGAGGCGTTGTTCTTTGGTTCCTCGGAAGGAGACGGCGGTGGCGGTTCTTTCTCGGAAGACGAACCAACCGATACAACGAGGAATGCGTTGTTTGTCAGCAGCACCCACCGGACGACGAACACCAGGAGGGTAGATCTGGCAGCTTTCATTTTGTGAATCGTATTTTAGTGTTGTGTTGTGTTGTGTTGTGTTGTGTTGTGTTTTGTCGCGTTGAGAGATCAGAGATGCAGTACCGTAGGCGGCGGGAGAGACTCAAAACGGAATGCTCTGTATCGAATTTGAAAATAAATTAGTTGTATGGGCCAATCAACCTCAACATGCTTGCATTGGTTTGGCTTGGAATGATACGATTGACTTTCGTCTTAGATGAATACAAGATGCGTGCACGCAATGGTACGGTACTGTTCGGCTTTTTGATGTTTGATCGGAAAGGGTATTCAGTGATGCCGTGCTCGTAATTCCCAAAGGACCAGGATACTGTTACCACTCGTGCGAGCACTCGTGTGTGGCTTCAATAACGATCGACCGTCGAAGATTTTTTCTGCCGACCGATGGACGATTGATGCAGATGCCGCCGATGCTCGAAAAAGAGCCCCCGTGTCGTTGACATGGAGACCGACACGGAGACGAACGCGAACATCACCAGGCGATGATGGATTTTGATTCGATACATTCGCACGACGATTTTCCAAGGTAGGGAGGAACCTACCGGTACGGTAGCACGAAGCAGAAGTAGTTTTCTTTCACCTATTTTCTTCGTTGAACAGAAGATGTCACTGCTTGTCCTACGTCAGGAGGAGCGGGACAGACTTTCGTAGGCAGTCGATCCAGTCGAATCGAATCGAATCCCCGGATGTTCTTTCATAGAATAGACCCATCGGAATAGGTCAGAATGACAGACGGGAAAATTCTAGTCGAATTCGGAGTCTACCGTACAATGGTGAGAGGTACAAGTAGTACGTACTACCTACTACGAGTACTAGCTCGTACTCCAGCAAGGGTGAAAATCGAAAATCCCAGTCATAACAACCAAAACGAACGTCAACGGCTCACTCGGGCATCGGCATCGGAGCAATGTTGCAATACTACGAAGCGTCACAATTCCATTGCGATCGTTTCTTTTGACACTAGCCACAACATCCAACCGAACCGAACCGATTCKGTCCAGACACAACCACGGAAACAACAAACATGGCCTCCAAAATCCTTCCAAAACCCATCGTGATCTGCGGTCCCTCCGGAGTGGGAAAGGGAACGCTGATCGAAATGCTCTTCAAGCGCTTCCCGAACGACCAGTTCGGCTTTAGCGTCTCGCACACGACCCGAAAGCCCCGGCCGGGGGAGGTCGACGGAAAGGACTACAACTTTACGTCGGTGGAAGCCATCAAGAAAGAGATCGACGAGGGAAAGTTTCTCGAGTACGCCGAGGTCCACGGAAACTACTACGGGACCTCCGTCCGGGCCGTCGAGAGCGTCCAGAAGCAAAACCGCGTCTGCATCCTGGACATTGACATCCAGGGGGCAATGGCGGTCAAGAAGTCTTCCCTGGAACCCTACTACTTCTTCATCAGCCCGCCCTCGATAGAGGCACTGGAGAAGCGGCTGCGGGGGCGGGGAACGGAGACGGAGGAAGCCATCCAGAAGCGCCTGGCCAACTCGAAAAAGGAACTGGACTACGGCCACGAGGCGGGGAACTTCGACCGGATTTTCGTCAATGCCGATCTCAACGAGACCTTTGAGGAGCTGGCGTCCGTCGTCAAGGAAAAATACCCCCACCTCGACGAGGTGGCGCCCGACGACGAACAAAAGAACTGTACCACGAAATGCTCGGTATCGTAAAACAATAGGTGCCGGGACACTGCTTCGGGGCACGCACCACGCAACACCCAACACGCAACACGCATTGCATCGTGCCGTGCTGGAGCAGGAATTCTGTGGTGTGTTTGGATGACGATGATAATGACAACGACAATGACAACGGCCATGACTATGGCATAGGGATCGATGGACTCATTTTTGTTGCCACTGTAGGGTCTGCCGCCAAACACTGCAAGACGAAAGCAACCACCCAATGTTGATAAATCGATCAAAGAAGAATGTCTCGCTTAGAAAAAAATCATACGACTTGCTTCGGAATAGTATTGAACGATACAGGAAGCGTAGCAACAATATTCAGACGTTGCAAACCATGGTGTTCGGCAATCTATGCATGGCGTTGAATGGTTTTGTAGCGTTTTGTTTGCAATGGTTATTCTTCCTCCGCGTCGCAGGGAATCATCTTGTACGCCCCGCCGTGCTTCTCGAAGTGGTCTTCCATCTCGGCCCGGGGCATCCCCCGCAGCTCCAGCTCGACCTGCCGGAAGCACGCGGCGTATCCGCACTGCTCGAACCCGATCGCCCGAAAGAGACGGATGGAATCGGTGTTGTCCTCGTTGATCCTGCAAAAGAACCGCTGGATGCCCAGCTCCCTCGCCCCGTAGCGGAGCATCGCGCAGGTCGCCTTTCGGCCCAGCCCCCTCCGCCGGTACTCGCTCCTGGCAATCATAATGTCGATCTCGGCCTGCAGCCGCACCCGCCCCGGCTCGTGCATGCCCCCCGCTCCCTCGTGGGCTGGTTCGGCGCGGGGCCCGGTGGGTTCGTCGGTCTCGCCGTCGTTGCCGTCGCCGTCGTCGTCGCCATCGTCCATCTCGCTCAAAAACAGGTTGACGTCGCCGATCATCGCGCCCAGGTTGTCGCCAACCGAAAAGGAAACCGGTGCGTCCCCGCCCGCGGCAGGGGTGCCGGCCTCCCCCGGTTCCACCGCCGGGTCGGCGTTCGCGAGCCTGCATTCCTCCCCAACGTGCACAATGAAGGTGCACTTGGTGTCGTCGTCGCGCCAGTCCTTCTGCATCTCCACTTCCTCTTCGTACGAGAGCGGCTCGGATCCGGTGGCTTCCAGCAGGGCCGGGTCCTTCATCCACTCGTGGTAGACCGGGACGTGCTGCGGGCCTGCCCGGTGGAACAGGAGCGGTTTGGGTTGGTTTGGTTTGGTTTGGTCGGAACGGGAAGGGAAGGGAAGAGAACACGAAGGGGCAGCAATCGTTGTGAGCAGCAGCAATGGCAATGGCAACGGTCCGGTTTGTTCTTCCCAGTCAAAATAAACACCGGGACAAACTGGCAACGGAATGCACTCCAGCGAATCGATGCCACAACAAACCTGCTTACAACACCAGCAACAGACACCGCGAACAAACAAACACCAAAGAATTTAGGAGACCTACGGTACGGAACCAGAACAACTTTCTCGCCGACGAGGCACGTTTCGTAGTTAAGCTTCATGGTTGATTGAATGCTTGCTTCGATCGAATAGCCAGTGCGTTCCAAGACACGTCCAGATGCAAACGAAGTCTGTTCTAGTGTGTGTGCGTTGTACAGTTCTTGGTGTCTGTTGGATTCGAGGACGAAGCAAACCAAAAAGCGATAACAAACGATGTTTTTGTGTCCCTAGCGTACGGGAAGTAATAGTACCGTAAGTATGTACGTACGTAACGTACTGTACATCTAAACTAAATCTGACCAAATCGGTGAACAGTTCGTACGAAGTTGTGGCGGGAATTCACTCGTGAATGATGCTGTATTACCTATTCTATCACAGTAATTTTCTTACTCGTGACTCAACAAACGCCTTCAGCATTTCGCCTACCGTAAGGATTGACTGTGTACCTATCATTGGTTTACAGGGTACGTAGGAGTACGTACTTCACCTGCCCTCATCCACTTTATCATACGTACATACCGTGCAAAATACTACGGTGTATTCAACGCCAAAACAAATCGCAAACAATCTCCACTTTGTGTTCGGATCGGCAACAGAAACTTCAAAAACCGGCGTGTCTTCTTTTTTCCACCGTCGATATCGTTCTTCCATTTTGATGATCGGTGACGACGATAACACGAACAAAAACTTGGAATTCAAAATTGGCATGCTCCCAACCAAACTTAAGGGGATCTTTTAAGGTGGCACCAGTAGAATCATTTGGTCGAGCTATTCCATCAATAATTCTCCGGAAGGGGCAAAGCGAACAGATTCTAGGAGCAGGGCAACAATAAGCGACAAAATGCAATCTATCTCTGTGGCAGTTTTTGCGATTTGTTCCATCGCGGTGCCGAGGAAAACCCATGAACTCGCATTGTTGATTTTGGCCGTGTGTTTCGCATTCGCTCTACCGTGCGATGCCTGGGAAATGAAGGCCGTGGCTACGAATACGAAACCTCCGGTGGGGCCATCGGCAAGGACGACACTGGCAATGAACACGAACGAGAACACGAGCCATCGATTTCCAACGAGGCGGTCCTTCTTTTTCTTGGCACCAATCCTCCCATCGGCAGCAATCGCGAATGCCGCCGCTGCGATGGCCGAAACCACCACCGGCGGCGGCATCGACACAAACCAAAGCGCGAACGATCCAAGCCAGAGGGGCAACGAAGCGTCCAAGCCACAGCAGCAGCGACCCTTTGTTTCCGCCGCATACCCCCGCAAGGAACTCACCAATTCCATAGTGGCGTCGCGGGACACCAACATTTCGCCCGCGGAGGTCTACGAAACGATCCTGCGACTCAGGAAGGAACGACCGGGGGAAAGCGGCGTCACCGCCAGCGGCTCGGTGCCCCCCGGCCGTCCCCGTGCGCTAGACGTGGGAGCGGGGGCCGGGGTCAGCACCCAGGTCATCTACGACCAGCTCGGGTACGTCGACATCGATGCCATCGACTGGAGCGGGGAGGCCTGGAGAATCAACGTCGTCGAGGGTGGCTATTGTCCGCCGACCGTGAACTTCTACGAACTGGACGACGAGCGGTTCGTCGAAACGGTGTGGAAGGAAGAACACCTCGAGAAATACGACATCATCGCGTTCAATTTTGCGGTCAACCGCCAGAAGGCCCTCTACTTTTGCAGGAATCTGCTGAAACCGGACGGTTTGCTGCTGGCACCGGTCAACGCCCAGACGGACTACTGGTTGAAGCAAACCTACCAGCTGCTGAACGCGAACGGCGAGGTGGTCTGGTCGACGATCGACGTCGGAGCCTGGAGCGTGCAGTTTCAGCCCGATGTGACGCAAGACACCTGCCAGGGGATCTGGTGCAGCCCGTTCAACGGGTTCCAAAAGATGCGCCGGTAGGAACGCCCAGCATGGTAGTGGTTCGACGGAACGGTGTACCGAGTAACACTTGCACCGGTATGGTTCCCACATGCTGTCAGCACTGGTTGTTCCAGCCTCTCCCCACCCCCAAAAAGGCCTCCTGATTGAAAAGTAACGTTATCTTTTTAATTTGTATTTTGGTTCATTGTCGTCTATATTGTATCTTGTTTTTTGTTGCGTTGAGTTAGGTTTCGCTCTCTTGTGAGTTTCTTTCACAGAAATTCCCATGGAACACGGGCGGCATTCCATTCCATTCTATTTCTTCTCTTCTTTTCCCGCGTTCCACCTGGATTGGTCTTCCTTTGTAAAAACTTGTCCATTGTCTCGATTCGTCCAGTACGTGTACGCCGCAACCCCGACGACCGCTACAGCCCAAGATGCCGCTCTTCCGCCCTGCAACAGAGGATTTTGCACAGAAAAACAATGCGCATGAGTACGGTTCAATTTCGATCCCTGTTCTGGAAATGGAAGTGTGATGCGAATGCGAAACATAGCCAGCGACAACAACAATACAGTAACAGATTGGTGCATCTCAATGCCATTCGCATGACGTCGTCCTACCTTTCCCAGGTTGGCGCTGAATAGGGTATTAACGTTTACTTTCGCCTTCTTGTCCATGGTTGTAGGGAAGAGGGTGAACAAGTCAGCTTTCAATTGATTCGGTATTGTACTTCAATAAGAAGATCTGAATGGTATGGTACGTACGGGCCAGAATGCGAACCAATTTTCATCATTCTCGTTCAATCCCAATCAATCCGAAATAGAAACCCTTTCTTCGCGTATTTCCCATACCGTACTGTATGTAAACTGTATGCGCAAAATGCAACTAAAATTGCATTATCATTATTGCCTCCATGCAACGAAAAAACAGTACCACATAGGCCTACCCCCTAAATACTGGTGTACGGCAAACCATTACTCCTTTATTTTCAACCGTATTGTTTTTTTTGTGTGCAAAATACATAGAAGAAACGGTATTGAGATTTTATGTACTACTCTTACTCAGTAGCTTGTTTGTTGCATTCTCAACCGTTGAAAACACGCACGCAGTGCAATAATACAACACGGAGACGTGGTCGTGGTGGGCCTGCACGTGAAAACTGCACATGAAAACTTGAGCTTATTCAGCTTATTCCCCCTTCAGCAGCAACAAGCAACAACAAGCAAACAGTAAACAGTAACAAGATGACACCACCAGCACCACCAGCACAACAAGATGGACGCGGGCCCGGAGGACGCGGACCAGTAGCAGTACGCGCAGGAGCACGGAGAGCACGACGCGGACGTCGTGGCAGGAGACAAGAAGAAGAACTCCCTCCGCCCAACTTGTTCAGGGTCGCCCGTGAAGCTTTGGAAGAAGTTGCCCGTGAGCAACAAGAAGCTGAGGAGCTGGTGCAACAGCTACGGCGAGGAGCAACAACAGGAGGACGCGGAGGACGCGGAGGACGCGGAGGGCGTGGAGGACGCGGAGGACGTGGAGGTCGTGGAGGTCGTGGACGTGGACGTGGACTTGAGGAGGAATCGTCGTCTGCTGCTGGACGCGTGGTTGCTCCTGCTGCCGCTGGAGCCGATCCCGAGGAAGCTGCTGCATTGGAAGAGCTCATAAGAGTGTTGGATGCAGAAGAAGAGAAGGAAGAAGGAGATGATGTCTTATTTGCTGATGATGGTGCTGCTGCTGACGACGGTGCTGCTGCTGACGACGGTGCTGCTGCTGACGACGACGATGCTGATGGAAGTGAGAGCGTTGCAACAACACCAGCAAGGAAGCGTCCTGGGCAGGCTCCCAAACCACCTCCTG